CCACAAATTGTCTTGCACTATTGTACGAACTGTTTCCCCTCAAAAGAAGACCTCTTCCTTTTATTACCCACCAGTGAAGAGGTGAGTCATTATTTAACTAGAAAATCCACTATGGAAATCCAGTGCCTCATTTTCTTAGTGGAAATCTGGGGTTACCTTTTAACATTAAATACGACATTCCACAGGAAAATAGAATTGTCCCTCGGGCTGTCATGTGGCTCTTCCCCATGGTTTTCTTTGGGGAGAGAGGATTTTGCAATAAAGAAATTTGGAACATCTCAGATGTCCAGTGCTCCCCTAATCCTGATTTCTTTGATTTCTGAGACCTTCACTTGCAATGGACCTATTTAGGTAATTGGATAAATAGGTAAAAGGTATTGCAAATATTACAGTTACCATCCAGGGTAGGTAACCCCAGTAATCTGGTAAATAAATTCCCTAGCATGGTGACTGAAGAGCCTGGCATTTGATTTTGAAGGGTTATGCCCAGGATTCAAGTATATGACATTAACAACAACAACATTCCTATCCTTCATAAATAACTCTTGCACACATAGCTCAGCACTGCAGTCCATGTCTCTTCACAAAGAGAGTTATAAGAAGGGCAAATAGATTCATAAACTGCACAACAAGAGAAGTATGTGGGTGACTAATGTCCACAAGGGGCCTTGTGGGAATGAACAACGGAAGGGAGGCATATTAGGGAAGAACAACGGAAGGGAGCAAAAGTGACATATTTACACTGGCCCACAAACTAGTTGGTACAACACTGCACCACTCAGGGACACAAAAATCTCTGATCAGCTGTTCATTCAGGCAGGCCATTAAACAACCCATTCAGTTCCATCAGCAAAGTCGATTTTCAGGGTTGGGTAGCATTGAACTAACCACTAGTCATCTCCTCTCCCATTCTTCATGAAAAGAGAATGCAATATCATAAAAAAAAAAAGTCAGTTACTCACGGTCCAACTTTAGACTCAATTGCTTGGCCATCAGTACAGTACAAGTGGATTCCATTCAGAGCTGTATCATCACCTATCACTTGGCGTTTTTCCACCTAAAAAAATATGACCTTGATAAAGTTCTAGATCAGCCTTTCTCCCCTTCAGATTTCAATTCACAGAAATGCCAACTTTTACTCATAAATATTGGATAATGCATTGGCTCAAGCTTAGATCGGCCACACAATATTCCACACAAAACTCAATGCCTTAGAGAATCAAAGAGGTTACACATCAATGCAATTACTTCTTGATTGCCTTTCTTGAAAGATAAGCTGAAGAACTAATTTCAAGAAAAGATTCAAAAGTTAAAATAATGTTTTACCTTCAGGGAGAAGGCATTAGCATAACCTTTAGCGCAATATGAAGCTGGACCCCATTCGCCCAAGGAACCCGCATTTGGCACAGTGAGCACAGAAGAAACCTTTCGGGCTTCGGTAGTCCACAGGCAGCAGGAGATAGTCAAGAGAAGAGTGGTGCTGGCAGAGAAATCCATGGAAACCAGTTTCCTTCCTGAAACAGAAACGTCTTCAGATATTGCAACGTCCTATAAACTGGAAACCAATCATAAAGTATGCGCAGTACCACCCTCATGAAAACATGGTTTTCAGTTCTTTTATTTTGTACCTTTGCATCAGCCGTAATTCCAGGGAACTGTCTGGATTTGATCCTCAGTTTTCTTGGTAAGATTTCAGAAATGGTTTGTCACTGCCTCCTTCTGCCTAGAGCTGAGATAGAGGGACCGGCCCAGTTGGCTTTGTACCTAAGACGTGACTCAGTCCTCAGCCTGATGTCTTAACCAATACAACCAATTGTTTGTAACAATTTTTATGAACTGTTTCCTAGTATGATTCGATTGCTTATTGTACCTTATGATTCTTGACTCTTGATGAATATATCTTTTCTTTTATGTACACTGAGAGCATCTGCACCAAGACAAATTCCTTCTGTGTCCAAACACAGTTGGCCAATAAAGAATCATATTCTATTCTATTCTATTCTATTCTACACCAAACTGCCCTGTACGATCAACAGCTTCAAGGATTTATGGCTTATAGCAAAAAACAGAGAGTGACAAGGACAATGAATTCAAATACATAATTTTTGGAATCTTGCACAAACCTTAATTCCTATAAAATTAGTCTAACTCAACAAGGTATGTGGAGAAACCATTTGCATAATTTGCATAATTTCTTGCAAATCAAAATGCATTTCGTCCTTGTATTAATGGAGGGAAGTTATATCCTACATTAATTTATAACATATAACAAAACACAGCATTAATCATAAACACTACAATCAAAACACATAATCACTGGGTGATATTGAGACAGTGAGTCCCTCTCACCTCAAGATTCTTGCCAAGAATATTGGGAAAAAAATGAGGAAAGGGATATTAGGTAAGCCATTAGGAGCTCCTAAAGGAAGAAGTAGAACTAAATAAATAAACTGCCTGCCCCTTGAACTGAGTAAATCCTGTTTTTCACTCTATGAAAATGCCTAGAAATCCCAAAAGGCCTGTTTGCCATTGAACGCATGGGTTGTATTAGGATTAGTCTTCCCCACAAGACCATCACTTTGCACATAGGGGAGATTGCCAAGCCAGCCATTTTGGAAGTGTGCCCATTAAATG